ATGACATTTGCGCTTCTTAAAAAGATCGTGTTTTACGTGTGACAACATCGCAAAAGTAGATAAGTAGGCAATTAAAACGATTATGAGACTGAACTTGTATGTAGCAAAGGTATAATTTACAAATTGTAAGTAAACTTGAAAATAGGATCAATAGTTGTTGATAAACCTACGTAATTCCTTAAAAAAGCATTTCGGTTATTTTTAAATAAAAATACTAAAAAATATATAATGACAGTGGCAAGTTCAAAGTGTCACATTTACTTTGTCGCACACTGTGCGGCAAAGTCCGTGCGTAAAAGTAAAACAAATGAACGCTAAAGAAAAGTGCTTCTTTTTGATCATCGCTTCTGTTCGCAAAATGGCACTTTTTGATTCATTCGAATAAAAAATTGATCTTGATTCAAACACGTTTGACTGTTTAGGCAAAACCGGTTGAATAATAGGGCTTCCATTTGTTTCAGATCCCCGTCAATGGAGCGAAATTCATGTGGCGCATTGGTTGCAATGGGCGGCCAAAGAGTTCTCCTTGGAGTGCAGTCCTCTTCATCAGTTCCGAATGAAGGGCAAGGACATTTGCGCGATGGGAAAAGATGCGTTTTTAGCACGCGCCCCAGCATTTGTTGGTGACATTCTCTGGGAGCATTTGGAGCTCCTTCAAAAAGGTACTGCATTTCAATTGGGTCGGTGTCAAATTGTAAATGGACGCTTCCATTGCAGATGTGGAAAAGGAAAGGACACTGTCCGTGTCCAATGCGATCTACGATAACATGTGTGTGCCGGAGATTCCTTCCTACATCGATTACACGCAGGCACCAGTAATCAATCCTGCTGAAGATCGGAAACCTCTTACGTTGACCGCTGTTACTCCACCCCCCACTAACTCTGGTCAAGCACAGTCCACTAATAATAATTTTCTTCATGACGGTAAGAAAACAGTTTTTTTAGCTGGCAAATCTTTATGTAATTGTATCTGTGCTTTGAACAATTTGAACAGGCTTGAAGTTTCACTCACCTTTTTTTTTCGTTGTTATTTTATGGGCATTTAATATGTTCAGGATAATCAGTTTGAGAGCGTTTCTCGTTTTATTCTCATTCTGTAATAAACTCTCTAAGAACTCATTAATCCAATACACCAAGATAATAATTTATATGCTGATATACGTTTGAGTGTAATAGTAGCTACATAAACTACAGTTATGCTAATTAACTTGGCTGCTCGTCTTCGAGCGCATTTAAACACCACAGGGAACTATCATCAAATCTATAAAAATTCTTCCACTCTATATTTCCTTCTAATGAAGATGTGCCTTGCTCTCAACTCCAATCTTGGGAATTACGTCATTTGGAATAGTCTTATTACTTGAGTTGATTTGAACCTTCTACGGTTCAACTCCGTAGTTTGCACACAAGAAAAATGTGTTTTTGCACCAATCGATTAATGCCCCCTTCCGGTGGGATTTTCGCGCTTTTCGAACAAAAAGACACCGTTTCAGCGGCAACCTTTCGGCTCCATTTTTACCATTTGGGCAAAAATACTCAAAAAACAGCGTTTTTTACGAACTCCGAATCACCGCTCTGCATGCGGTTATCTTTGCACGATCAAACCGAAATCAAACTGTTGCGATGGGTTAAATGAAGACATCGTTCCCGAACCCAATCTATAGAAAATTACATAATTTCGAATAAAATTATCCAGCTACTTAATTTACGAGTGATTGATCGTTCGAAAGTTAAGGCTCCACAGGAAGTTGTTCGAGAGGGCCTTCTGAATGAAAATTAACTTCGCATTGACGTTGGTAATAAGTTGTATGAATCGAGCGAATGAGGCCTAGATTGTTCTGTTCTCGAACTTGTACGACGATGTTGCGACTTATCTTTGCTTAATTAGGCGCTGACTTTCAAGAAGCAACCGATCAAGAGTTATTATCACGCATCATCTAATAGGTTTTGATTAGCGCAAGTGAAGGAAATTAATTTGGTTCCGTATATAGTGCGAAACAATTTCAACTTTGGATCTAATCGCCGAGATGCGATCTCGAGATCGAAAAAATGTGAAATATCACAAACGGTTCCATGTCACACCTGCATATATTTATTTTATGGCTTACGTGTATTGTTGAATATTAATACGTGAATACTGTTGCAGAAAAAGTAACAACAATATCAAAGCTGTTAATCCAGTCAACAACATTTTTAATTCATTTAACACATTCATGTTAATGGCATTTAAATGCGAGAAGGAAAAAAAGATTAAACGCATATTAAGCGATATTTTCCCAATCGCGAGTGTTGTATTGCTTTTTTCTTGATGCAAACGAGGTTTTTAATTATTGCACATGACTCATACTATGTTATGATAAGCGTATTCATTATTCTTGGAGCTCCCATTAATAATGAACTCTTTCTGCTGATGCGTAAAACAGGACCTAAATAAGCGCAATTATCCGTTGGTAAACCGAAAAATGGAGGCGGTCTTACGATAACACACATCCATCGGCCAGACAAAGATGTTTTAACATATTAACTTAACCTGAATTGAGCAATAACAACTTTCGCATTTAGATGCCGTGACCAGTTGCATTATGCAATTTTTCATGTTCAAATTAGTGTTGTTTTCGTTAAATTTGCAAACGATCGATTTATGGTTTTCGATCGAAAACACTGAAAATGCGAATGACAATTTCTCAAACAACCAACCACCTGATGAAAATGGCTGAATTTCTCACAATTTAAACGTGCTTTAAAGCACCTGGGAGCAATTTGAGGGAAACGATCGCTCAAATTTCGCAAGAAAACGTTTGCTTTATTTACTTGATCGATTTTCAAAACAAAAGCCAAAGTTAGCCAAACAAAGCGACAGAAAACTGGGTCAAAAAGCACGAACCAAACGAGGCTGAAGGATGAGTTTGATAGTGAAAGCCAGATAACGAATATTGCACATAATGTTGCTGCAAAACCTCTAGAAGACATGGTTCGCTACCCCGTTAACAATGCCAATGGTCTTCCCTATTTATTCCACTTTTCATGTCGAAGGCGTCTTCGTGCCGCGTTTTTTCCTTAGTTATTAATTGCCCTTTCTGCTGTGAAAATCAAGCAAAAAACTGTACCGGGTGTCAAATCGTGATATGCTGTAGTTCATTCAAGATTTCTATCAGTTCCGTGTGTGTTTAGTGGTTTGTGGTTTTATGATTCAATGGTTTCGGATTTTCTGCACTTGAGAATGGCCGTTATTTTACGAGGTCTGTATGGGTTTTTCGTTATTGTTTATGAGGCATTTTGGGATTTTTTTTCAATTCAACCGCATTCGACAACATACTTTTTTCCGTACTTATCGGGCGACGATGGAAAACATCCCCATGCACTGAAGACTAAAGTGGTCTATTTATAAATTAAAAAAGTCTTCAGACATTCTAAATGACCCTTTTCATTTCTGTTGGATTGTTCCTCCGCGTGTCTAGCGCGATCTTTTTCCAACATATTGATAAATAGCACAGCATGTTCGTTGTGCGCCTCCACTCAACAGTCCTTCGAGTGAAATCCATGAATGAAGTGCCCTGTTTAGTGGTAATAAAAACAAGTGGCCATGATTCTATCGCACGTGTTCCCCCTACTAAAGGGAACCCCTGACATGTGAGCACAACTTCCCGTGCTTTCACGGTGTCGCAATGGGGTAAATCGTGGAGGGTTGGATGCCGATGGTACTTTCTTTGAGATGTTGTGCACGTACTAAAGGCCTACTATGCACAGATTTTGTGGAAATTGAGTCACTTTATTTTCATTTCCAGTTGGATTATTAATATACATATTCTTTTCCTTCCTGGGTTTCAGTCAAAATGTAAAATAAAAATTTGTATATCTTTTATTTCATAACGTTTCGGCGAGACAACAGCGCCATAATCAGATTTAAAATTCATACAAACTCATAATTGGGAAACATTAGATTCTTTTTAGGCATCCAAGCCTAAAAAGAATCTAATGTTTCCCAATTATGAGTTTGTATGAATTTTAAATCTGATGATGGCGCTGTTGTCTCGCCGAAACGTTATGAAATAAACGATATAGTTTTTATTTCACACTTTGAAACCCAGGAAGGAACAGAATATAATAACGATGACACGCAGTCAGGAAAATAAATAAAAAAAGTAGGATTATGGCAAAAAAAGTAAGACCTACAGTCGACGAGTGATTCTTTAGACTACACTTTAGACTCCGTAGACGAACTCATTAAACTGTTTTTATGAAGGAAAAACAGCGACAAATCACTTGAAAATTATTTTTTCCAGTTTCATTTCTTTAAACCATTAGCAATTTTACACCTTTCTAGGCGTGACCAAGGAATTTTCTTTGTATTCGGTGTTTGCCTCTACCAAATAATTAGCCTTTGCGTACTCTTTTCAGGCAAACGACAGAGAAAGCAAAATCGGCTCGACCCTAAGCAAATATTTGATTTGATTGTGAACTTAAAAATTTTCCAATAAAAACTTCTTTTTCAATTGGCATTTATGCCAAATATTTACCGAAATTTGTGGCAGTTATGTGGGTTTTCAAACTACACGAGTCGTAAATATCGCTGAAAAGGAGCTCAAAACGCCCAAGCAAACATTGGCCCGATAACGTCGGTTATCTTCGTGCAACACACAGCTTTATATCTCACAACTGAACGTCTTATCTTCGTCTATTTCTGTCAATTGAGTATGGGGTGTTATTTACTTGTTTAACTTAATTATGAGATAATTGAAACAAATGTCAACCTATTAGTTGCGGCCACAGAGACTAAATAGATATTAGTTATGTTGTTTGAGGCTGATTAACCCCTTCAAAGGACTGGGCGTTGTTAGCGCCTTTATTCTCTCAGCGCTCTCCTATTAACCCGAAGAAAACAGTATGTAACCAGTAGTCAAATCAAGTTTTTCAAGTCCTCCAACTGCACTAAAATCCTTTATACTAAGGCAGCTTTCAAGCGATGATTGTGTTCGAATAACGTGCAATATGTGTCATATGGAATACTCTTTTTTTCGCATTGAAGGTGATCCCACTTGGGACACACCCATTTCCGTTCCCTGCTTTAGTAATGTCTATACAAACACTACCAATAATGTCTTCGGAACTTACCACGTGCGCCATTTTCCTTAGGGGGTAACCAGAGAAGATTTCACAGCCCCTTCAAGAACTTTTATACCTACTATGTGACTCTCTTCAGGTTGAGAGGCCCATAAAAGACGGAAATAGTTGGCAAATGTTTAAAATGTTGTCTTTCCACCATACGCCAGATAACCGACAATGAACAGCCACACGGAAAAAGAGTTTTTTTCGTTTTGCGATCGCAAATAAATCACAATTGGCGGTTCTGCCTTGGGCCGATGTTTGTTTTCAGTTGATTCGAGCGCGCAGCTTCCACTCAAAGAACCACACACCTGAAAGGATGCACGCATATTACATAAAACATGCAGAATTATTTATGCAAACTTCTTTCTACTTAACAAATAAACTTGGGCGATTTTTTTCTGAAGCACATCCGAGTTAGAACAAAGATGCGACCAGATGTGGCGAACAGTTTATAGATCAATGTGGTTTTGAGCTGCTTTGCAAGAGAAAAATATGTAATGTAGTGGGCAATTTGCGGGATTTGAACTCGGAGATAAAGCAAACATTATTCAGGCGTGTTTCTATCAGGTAACAGTGGTAGTCGCGTCTGCTGCCTGTTTGCAAAAACTGTAATCTCGATCTTGTTGCACAAGTGAATGAAAATGATTTCCAATTACACGTTTCCAATAAATAACCCAGTTAGAGGCACCTTCATGCCAATCAATAAATTCGAAGAGATAAATGGACAAACGATTAGAAACCAGCAGCTACTGGTATGTTGTTTCCGTCCTCCAACACCTGATCGGTATCTGGTAAACAGGAATCCGGACTTTGGCGGA